TGTGTATTCTAAGCAGTCCGCGCCGGGAGGGCGCATGGAGCTGTTGGAAGCCTATCGCCAGGCAACGAAGCTGTAAACATGCATCCGTAATAACGAGAGGTGGTGTTCTCCTTAATATTATTATTAGTTCACACTTTCAAGTTAGTTTCCAGCTTTATAATATATCTGCAATTTTGACTGCAGTAACTCTATTTAATGAATGTAGCATCCAATGGTTAGTTGTTAGTCTTTTGAAGTTACGTCGGAGCGGGACTAATACGTCCTTACACAATAGAGTACACCGCCAGAGTGAGCCTCGAGGCGGTTCACCTCTCAGATCTGCGAATCTCAAAAGAGGTACGTCCTGTTCTGGATTCCAGTTAGGCATATTCAAACTGCAGGAAACCCTAGGTTTTTAGACTACTTCACTTATGTTGGAAATAAAAAAGCGGGCTTATGCAATAACATTGCCGCCTGCGTATTCTTGTGTGTCTGGCCATCTGTCTATCTGGGTACATGTATATAATTTTGCTTAGGTGGATTATGAGATTGCCTTGCTGTTTGTATGTCGGATTGTCATCCATATCATTGCTAGGCAACGGTCTGCTTCGAGTGCATATTATGAGATCATCTGTCTGTCTGTATGTCTGTATAGCCCTTTTAATTTTTATCTTTTCTATGCTGTCCGTGTCTATCAAAGAAAACCAGGCGATTCGTACTTCCTAGAGCTTTGTGTTTTATTTTCTGTGGCGCTACAGCCCCAATTTGGGCCTAGGCCTACCTCCATGTAACTCTCCGTTTCACTTCGGTTTACTAGATCTTACACATTCGGTAGGACTCCTTGGGTGAGTGATCAGCTCGTCGCAAGGCCTCTACCTGTAGACAAACAGAGAAAAACAGACACAAACATCGATGCCCTGAGTGGGATTCGAACCCACGATCCCGGCTTCCGAGCGAGCAAAGACAGTGCATGCCTTAGACCGCTCGGCTACCGTGACCGGCAGAGCTTTGTGTTACGTCTTCCAATTACGAGTAAACGTAAAATTTCAAGCGATTCTAGCCTTTAAAGAGTACATCATTTTTTTACATGAGAATGACGGATAACACTGAAAGTGTTGGGCCTGTGCCTTCCTACATTACGTGCGCGAAAATGAGCCACATCTCCAAATACTAATGTATACAAGAGTGGTCTTAACGTCTCAAAATTCTAGGTAATTCGGCATAACATTTTGCCTTCTAGCTGAATGCAAGACTGATGTTACGTCCCTTCTTAGAAGAAAAGAACTGACGCTCCATTTTATTCTAGCAGCAATCTACAAATTAATTTATTACTCTTTAGAATCCCACTAGCACGTACTTAACTAGAGCAATGAAAATAATTACGTTATCAATGGATTTGAACTGCACACAGCGAACATGACAGTTATTATGTTTCCTTTTACCTCAGAAGAACGGGGGAGGCATTTATTTCTAGAAAATAGACCGAAATAGTTGGTTCAGACGTAAGACTCGGCCTGCACACTGGTCATTCTGAGTTGTCGTGGTTTTCTCAATGATTCCTCGTAATTTCTGAAGTTGCACCTTAATCAAGCCATGATTGCTTCCTTCTGAACCCTTTCCAATTCATATAATTCTAGCAATCTCTGAACCCGACGCTGTACATGTACACGTGCAGTATTGATACTGAAAACATCCTTCAATAATCCACAAATAAAGGCAGAACAGTAGAAGATAAAATGTATAAAAATGGATTTTCCAAAGCTTGTTCTCAGATTTTTATCATACGGGTGGGCGTTTGGGAAATGTGGGTTCGATTCCCGGCACAGGAAGGGATGTTTCTCCTCCACAGTGTCCAGGAGGGCTCTAAGGCTCACACAGCCTCCTATGCAGTGGATATAGTAGGCTTCTCTACCGAGACAAAGTGTCCGGAGCTTGAGGCTAACCACTCTCCTAATATCTCTCTCACTAATATCGAGATTAAATATACTCTCCCGTACGCCTTAAAGTTGCTTTGCTAGTTAAACACTGGGGTACATCTTCGTCACGGGACTATTCCTGTTTAGAACTAATTCTGGAAATATAATTCATATAGACAGATCTTAGGACTCCAGCCCGTCTCAACGCCATTATCTACACACGACAACACAAAAAGAATAATCCCAACAGAATTATTTGGTGCGTCGTTTGGGGTTTGAATACACATTCCCAGAGCGTTGAGCAGGTGAAGCCATTTAATGTCTTATACAGAGCGACCACTCTCATCGACCAAAGACAAGTTTACTGTGTATATGTAATATCAACTGTGAAGAGACGACGTTTCATCTATCGGGACGAATGAGGTTACGAGAAGGAAATGAAAGGAAAATGAACAGTGTTCAACATGCACGAGGCAGCCGAAACTTGAATGTTTTTACTGCAATGCTGGAGGGAAACTTTACTGCCCTTTACATTTCGCTGAATCCATGGCGATTGGAATTACCTATCTAGACAGGACTGCAGGAATGATTTGTACCAAAGCGGGAGGAAAAAGTACAAATTATTGTTTGTGAAGCTGATGGATATCACCGATATTTTCAGGTCGTAACATGCACAAAATGCCTATCACAGTGACCGCGAGGTCTAAGGCATGAACTCCCTTCGCCCGCTCCAACACTGGGATCTTGGGTTCGAATCCCACTCTAGGCATGGATATCTGTGTATTATATATTTTTGTGTTGTTCTGTGTGCAGGTAGGGGCCTTGTGACGGGCTGATCCCCCGTTCAAGGAGTCCTACGGACTATGTAAAAGATAAAGAAACTGAGAAAGCGACTAAGGTCCAAGAAAGGGCTGTAGAGCCGTAGATAGATAGACATGCAAGAAATCATTCTTAATTGTTGTACTGAGCTGGAAGGACTCCCCCCTTCCATTTCCCACCACAAGCGCTTCTATTCTTGGAAACTAATAAAGCTCGAGGTCTATGTCACCCCGTCTCCAACAACACTGAATGAGCCCCCGACACGCAATGGAGAAGCTTTTGCAGAAGCTGACCACGTTACCATTGCCATCTCGTGACAGGATGTACAGGATGTAGAACATCGACATCGGATAATCTGATTCACTTGCTGTGTTCACATCAACGTTTAGTAACTTTGATTAGAATCATTTCTTTTGAATTTTAAACCGTGTTTAATATAGTAACGAGAAATGCGTATAGGATATTGGTGGGAAAGCCAAAAGGAAAGAGACCACTGGGAAGACCAAAGCGTAGGTGGGTGGACAATATTAGAATGGATCTTAGAGAGATAGTATTGGATGGTATGGATTTGATAGATCTGGCTCAGGATAGGGACCAGTGAAGGGCTCTTGTGAACACGGTAATGAACCTTCGGGTTCTATAAAATGCTGGGAAATTCTTGAGTAGCTGCAGAATTGGTGGCTCCTCCAGAAGGGCTCAGCTCCATGAGTAAGCAAGTAAGTAAGTTCAATTTAGTAATAGTACGTTATATATCATTACGGAAGGACATGCCACAGTCGTAAATATCATTCGTAAAATATGTTTATTCATGTACAAAACTGACTTTAAAATTTTTTTCCTCATGAAGAGTTTACAATTTTAATTCCAATAAAAATTTAATGAGTGTAACACTGATTACATTACACATTATCATTTTATACTCTCTTAGATTACGAAGACACATTGTGCAGTACGAGGAGCAAGTCTAGAGTGCTGTATTGATGGGAGCTATATATATGAGACATACGGTTACTGTGAAAGGTTTTACGTATCACATATTTGTAAAAGCATCTTCCAATCCAGTAACTCGTATCCACCATAGTCCCAATAGTTACAGTCTGTCAATACTAGGAAACCTATTGAAACAGAGATATCCTCCGGTTTTTCAAAATATGCTATTTCGCTTTGAGCTCAAATGTTTTCCTGGAGGCTTTTTTTTCACGATAGATTCCAGTGGCCAGCTTTTGTGAACACCATAATAAAATTGTGAATAAAATATTCCAGGAATATCTTAGTTAATATTTCAAGAAGAAGTGAGTATACAGATTTAGGTAAAGTAAAAATGAACTCCTTATGTGGACGTTATGTCTCTCTGTACATCCGTTCAGCTGAGCACCAACGCTGAACAGTTTCATNTTTTTCTTCTACCCTGAAGATGGAGGCGATACGTTCCTCCGAAACGTCGGTTAACACCACTTATACACGGTGCCAAATCCCAGAAGACTTCTTTCTTCATAGTCACCGCCGTGAAAGCCTCAAATCTTATACAGTTTCATTTATAATCCGACGTGAGAATGTTTCTATAAACATTGCTGGGAAAATACACGTAGCCACATTCCTGAAATAAAAAACAAATTAGGATAAAGTAATACATGAAATTTTCACTATTAAGAGTTCTGTATCCTGTAATATAACTCCGTGTATTACTGCGCCTTTCAGCCAACGTTTCGGAGGAGCATAAACTGCTTGCTTTATGTTCATGACATGTGTAGCTTATTTTTTGAGCCTGAATAAGGAGGCAATATAAGGTACAGTTGTCCCTGTTGTGCTCAATTAATTAAACAATAGGCAATTGAGGAGTATCAGAGAGTGGATATGTAGATCCAAAGGGGGCCATATATTCCTCCGAAAAGTAGGTTGACTTGAACTCTTGGCCTTCATGTTTATCATAAACCTTTTATCAGAATTCAGAGAAATATTGCCATTACAAACCTATGTGTAACTGCAAGAGGCCATTTTGTTTTACAGTTATGTCGACATATTGCAAAGCTTACTTCATAAGTGGCCATAACTGAACGTTCGTGTTTAAGATAAACCATTAATCAATTTGTGTTTAAATTCGATATGAGGTATCTTTGCATAATATTTTTTGGCCAAATAAATCTATCCATATTTTTTATATATCCCATAAGCAGTTTCAGAACGTTTGCTGAATTTCAGCTTTGTGTATTATGATTCTATTGAAATATAAATTGTATACGTTTATCTAATATGTTTTGCGTTCTGATTACTCTCTTTTATGAACAGGCCGCACTTCATTTTGAAGTACACTCCTTCCAATCTTGTACTTCTCCCGTTCAAGAGTGAAACAGACCAAGCGTATTGAAGCAAGTAGCGGATACTGTCACGTGGTACAGATGTTTGTATGAGAACAAGATGGGTGACGCTATAGAAGACGCTACCCTCTACAACTGCACAGCCATGTTGTTGCTGCAGATGGATTCAGACACAAATGTAAACTCTGTGTGGATGCTGAACCGTAGTCAAGTGCTTGATCTACTGGATGCTACTTTGACAGAGGTAGAAACTTCTGCCAAAAGAACGGTGTTGCGTGATTTTATTTCGGAGTGCCTGTTCCCCTCACAGAGACCTTATGATCTGGCATGGTGGCAGAAACTTGTGTGGACTGTAGTCTTTGCTGCAATGCTTGTAGTTGCTACAGGAGGCAATGCCATCGTGATGTGGATCGTCCTTGGTAAGCAGTGCATGGTTTATATATATTTAGCTATGTTTAATGTGATAGTGACTAAATTATAAATTTTAGATGAAGTTTCAAGTTTCTGAGAACTCTGAACATTGGCTTACCATAGATACTGTTGTGACTTGTAACCACAGAGAGAATAAGCGGTCTCCGTAGTCTAGGGGTAACGTTCCCACCTCATGACTCGTAGTACGCGGATTCAAACCCGGAGGTCGTGGAATTTTTAAGGGCGGAAAAATTCAGGGAACAAGTCCTCCGGGAGGGACTTTAAGCCGTGGGTCCCGTGTCGTAGCTTTACGGCACGTAAAAGAACCTCATGTCTCAAGGAGGCCTCTGAGCCAAATTATTAAGGACATTTCCCGCCCAACAATAGTGTCTAACGCCTCTGGTAGATGGGGGAAGCATATAGATACCGCTGAGCCAGTAGAGGCC